AGAATTTAGCTTCAATGGTGATACGTGTGCATGATTTTTTTTTTGTGGACAGTAACTACTTGGTCTAACAGCAAAAATAAAGGTAACTTAAATGTGGTGTTTGCCACTATGGATTTTTTTTTCTTTTCATTTTTCATTTCAACAGTCAAGTTAATTTCTCTGTAAAACACAATCTGGATTTAACTGAGACCCAAGATACATGATGTTCTTCCAAACTGAAGTTATAAAATTCGATTTTACAATCATGGTGGACAAAGTCACATGTACCCAATTTTTTGGGTGTACTTTTACAATATTCATCGCTTCACTGCGTTCGTATTACTGGTTTTAGTCAAATTGAGATTAAAACGGGGTTTTCATTTCAGAGTCATTATTTGCTATCTCAAATATATCAGTATTTAGGTAAACTTCTTGTTCTTTGTCTGAAACCTCTGGAATGCAGAAGCTTGTCTTGTTTAATCTGAGTGTTTTGACTAAGAGGGACACTTAATTATTAGGGACGGGGGGCTCTGTCTCTCCTTTTTGAAAACTACATGAATATGAGTAAAACTTAAAGGAGAAGCTTAGTTTTATGCTTTGAAGTTATGCAAATAATCCTTTGAGTCTGATATTCTTCCCATTTTGAGAGTGAGCTGTGCTGTGTAGGCTGCGGGGAAGGGAGGATGTAGGGGGGTAACATCCTAAAATGAAGGCTGCTGCATTGTGGTTAGCCTCCACGTTAGTCTGAGCATCACTGCTACTGTCTGGGTTTCAAATATATAGAACTTGGCAGCTATTGTTTCCAAGCGTCATGTTTTTCAAGTGTGAAAGGATTGTTTTTTCCCACTTTCCCCTTATAGTTTTCCTCTGCAATTTGGTTGGAGTGGTTGCTGCTGCGATGTTTTCCTTGTTGCCAGCCCCACTCCCCTGGCCTGTGTTTATTTTCCTATCTGTGATGAAACTCAGAAGATGTTAGTGAGTCAAATACCTTCCAAGGCTATGGTTTTTATCTTCCGTGTAGTTTTGTTCTCCTCTCCAGACTCCGTATAGGAGTATAGGGCTCATGGCTCTTTGACCAGGATGTTTGGAAGTGACATTGTGAGGGTGTTGGGTTTTTCAGGGTGGGGTGGGGGGTGTTTAACGTAGTTTCATATAGACTGATAGGAGAGAAATGCCCCAACTACTGGAAAACCTGAAGGCAAACCTAGTGTCACCTTGCCTTGCTTCTGTGGTCTGTTTCTGCTGCTCCTAAGACAAGACAGCATCTCAGCTTGGAAGATTTAAGTGGGATAGAAAAAACTGATGAAGGTCAAAGGGACTGGCTTTGTGCTGTGAAAATAAAATTTTATGGATGAGTCCATCAGAATCAGTGACCAACTTTGACCATAACAATACTTTGAACATTTAGGAGATTTTTAAAGTTATTTAAGACAGAAAGGCACCTCAGAAATTGGAGGTTGTTGCCACCACTGCTGGTAATATCTCTAAATTAGAGATATTAGAGTGTGTTTACAGTATGGAACAAACTCGTGCACTTAAATAGAAAGCCATTAAAAGTACTTTCCATACTTTTGTTTGACCTATAGGTTACCAATAGTTTAACATATCTTGTATCCTATTTACCAAAGATTCTATTTTGTTGGGGTTTTTTTAGGAAAAACATTGTAAATGCTTGTTTTTATCTTGAGCCTTGTCCATTTAAAATTTTTAACTTAAATGCAGTTGATGACCATATCTTAAGCTGCAGGACTAAAGTTGACGTACATTTCTGTTTAATACCACTTCAAATAAGTGATCCATTTGTCGTAAGTATTTATAAAAGGATACGAAAGAGATGTATATAGTCCTGGTTACACAAGTGATTATTTTTTTTAAGAAGTCACCAAAAAAAAAAGTGATGGAAGATGTCAGTATTTGAAAAACAAACTTGGTTTCTCACAGGCAGAATGGATTTGTGCAGGAGCTTCTCAGTGTGTGTCTGCTAGTGCTTTGCTGTCACACATACTTAACCAGCTCCTGTAACTGATGTGGGCAAACTTTGTGTCAAGTTCTGTTAGTGGCACCTGTTTCAGTTTTAAACTTCAGGTTCAAATGAGAATGAACAGTAAGTATCTCTTTAAAACATCAAGAAATATGAGAGCTTATTGGTGACCTAAGAATTTTTTTTTATATACTCATACTCTGCTGTATTAAATGATAGGCTAACAGGAATTTCAAAGATAATTATGTTGCCATATCTTAATGGAAATTACTGATCTGTTATCTGATATATTGATATTCTAGTGGACTCAGTTTATATGGAACTATGTGACATAATTGTTGAGATCATATAAGGATCATTGCCTAAAAATTTCATAAAGGTGTCAGCAGTTAGTAATGCTTAAATGGCATCTGAACACGCTATTTCAGTGACAGTTTCCAATAAAAAAGGAAGTAATAATCTGAGAGGTTTCTAAGGTTCATCTTTCATGTAGTGAAGGATTATTGGGATGGAAATAATTTTTTAAGAAAACCACCTTATTTTGATATTACAGTACTTGGATCTGAGTTGAGGCTTCATCATCACACATTAGTGCTTCTTCTGACTAATCACTGAAGTTAGTTTGACAATAAATGTGATGTCACTTTATGTCAAGAGATTAATTGTTAGATCATAAAGCATGTTTAAACGGAAAATACTAAAGTGTTTTGTTTTGGATATTGACTTACGTTTTCTTCTTAATGTAAACCATTAATTCTAAGTCAATGTGTATAGGATTTGGATGTGAGTTCCCATTTTAGTATGCTTCTCGTTATTACTGATTTACAGTTTTTGTCAGTTTTATATATATATATATTGCTTTTCTTTCCATCACTTCAGTGTTATGTCAGTATTTTCATGTTTTGTTACTGTATTTTTATCAGAACTGGTATCATTGAAATTCTGGGGGTTTTGTTTTCCTGGTCTTTATTTATAGACAGCTTGTCTGTAATTCAGATTCTGGGGCTGTCAGTGGAGTGCCCAGATATTGACTGTCTTCAATGTAATTACTTTTCAAATTTCTAAATGTTAGTGAAATCCTTTTTTTTTTTTGTCATGCTGTTCATTTTCGGTGTTCAGTAACAACTACAGATATAGTTGTATGTGTTAATAACCCCTTTTTGAAAATATGAAAATGTGAATAATCCCTACTGTAATTTGAAAGATGAAATACCAGTAAGTGATTTTTAGCTTAAAACAAGAGGTCTTGAAATGTGTTAATGTTTTCCTTATGTTGATGCAAATAATAGAAAACAAGACAATCAGAAACGTACTTCTGTGGAATGAGTTACAGGTAAAATCACTTTACAGCAAAGATGGTGTTTATTTTGTAAATTTAGACCTGAGTGTTACTGATATCAGCAAACATTCCTTAGCATGTCAGTTTATATGCAAAATGGAGAAAATATTTGGAGAATAGCTTTTTAAAACGTATAGGTATTTTATTTTTGAAAATAGTTTAGTTGGAAAATACAGTATTTGAAGTAGTTTTTGTTTTAAAATACTTCTCTCTTTTGAACATTGAGGGGAATTGTTACAGTGCAGAATTATTATTATTTTTTTTTAATTGAGACAAAGCAACTTAGTATGTAAATATATGCAGCAAAATTAGTACATTTAAAATGGAGGGGGGAAACGTGTCGCCTGAGAGCCCAAAAATTCAGGGGTGGTTTTGGTTGTTTTTGTTTTGTTTTTAAATTAGGCTTGGTATTTTTCTACAAATTCTGGTCATCAGGTTTCTAACTGTATTGTGTCTTTAGGAAGTAAAAAATTATTTCTTTGTGCATTTGGTGTCAATCCTGGGAGCAATTTCTGAAACGTTTGTAACCACTGCAATGGAGGAGCATTGAGATGCTTGCTTAGGTGTATGTTCTAGGTCAACTCTAACAGTCTTTAAGCTTGGTATAAAAGGAATTTGAGTTTTCTTCATGTTTTTAAGGTTCTTGTTACCTAAACATATCACATTTGCATTGTAGTGCTGGTAGAACAACTGATTTCACATGTATGAAAATCTGTGAGATGTGGCAAATCTTCAATATTACAAAACTTTGAGGGATTAAGAGTTGTGGTTTTAAAATTTGTTTAGTGATGTATTTTAAATTTTAGATTCACTGCCTGTGTTCAAAGCAGCTTATTTATGAAAGTAGCTCTCTCCTCCCAAAATGCCTGGAAGGTTTTATTAAAAAATTGTTGTAAAGGTTGAAAGAAAAAATGTTGAATAAAGGAGAGGAGAAGGAGAGCTGTTCAGTGGGGGAAGTGTGCACAAATACAACTTGATCTGTCACATCATGTAACAGGGCTACCACCTGTCAGCAAACGTATTTGCTTTAGCAGACTACTTTTACTTTGGAGGAGTACAAAGTAGTATGAGATTTGGAGAAATAGCTTTTTTTTCTCTAACTCTTGATGACCATATGGGTCTCATTGTTCATCTTTGCCAAGTATACTTAGTTTTAATGAACACTCATGGGGAGTTACTCTTGAAGGTAGCTGGTTCCTGGCTATATCTGAAACATCTTTCTGGATAAAAGGTATAGGCTGCAATGCATTATGAAATAGATGGATGTTTTCCCCCAGATGTCTTTATTTGCATAGCATTTACTTACAAATCTTGATCCAGGAGGAGATGGAGAAGATGCATTGAAATAAACCTTTCTTGAAAAGAAAATAACATTTGATGCAAAATCATGCAAAATCTACCATCTAAAATGCCTGAAATTTCTCAAAACTCTCTGCTACTATCAGTCTCTCATTCCTTAACTTTCTAGTATATTTAATTGTTCCTAGTACACTAATGATGCTTGGGTTTTATTTTCATTGTATAGTAACTTTTTCTCTAGTTTTTCTCTAAGTTTTATCATAAAATGAACATAGGTCCTTTAATGTTTAATATTAATTAAAATAACTTCAGTTTTGTTCTTTCTGTTCTGTAAAAGGGTATCTGAAGAATTTTTACAAATTTTATCTTGGAAATTAACTTATTCATTATGTTTAATTTTAGGAAATGGTGCTCTTGCAGAACATTCTGAAAATGTGCATATTTCAGGAGTGTCAACGGGTAAGTCATTTTTTGTAATGTTTAAATTTCATGCATGACTTAAATAGTAAATATTGAAAGCCACCTGGTATCTTATGAAGAGATATTTGGCTATAAAAATTATTACTGCCTTTTGCAGCATGTAATAAGGAATGAAGCAACTGGAACATGGAAAAATTCTCATAAGATAAAATTGATACCTGCATGCTCATGAACAGATTATGCCTTTCTAAGTGGACTGCTTAATTATTTTTCCATACAAACATTGAACTAAGAGAAAAGTTGGTTTAAGTTGAATTGATATTTTCTTTCCACAGTAAAGTTTTTGTGAAATGAAATTTACTGAAATGTAATTTTGGACACTGCTACTATCAAATAATATAAATCCAGGAGTTAAGCGTTTTACCTGATTAGATTGAAGCAGTAACTGAAACTACTGTACACTTGACTGCACAGGTTCCTTAATACAAGAAAAAAAGAATTTTAGAACTCATGAAACTGAGAAACTGATGAGATGCTGGGAGAATATGGGGTATAAAAGCAGCACATGTTGCTCAAAGGTTGCTATGTTCTCTTCCAGTAAGTCGGTCTTAGGCCTCTTTTTGGGCGGCAGCCGCGGTTGGGACTATTCTGTTAGTGATGTGACTGTATGGCCATTAAGGCATTAGGCGATACCAGTGTATAGTCTTTGTTCTTCAGATGTTAAGCAGTGCCAGCTAAGCTGTTGGTTGTGTTTTATGATGCAGATACTTAGAATATGTGCAAGTGGGGAGACTAACAGTCTCCTTCAGTGGGTAGAAGAATACAAGCCTGATTCTTTCCATAGGGAAGCTGCCACTAATCCCTGGAAATCAAACTGACTTTCACACCCTTCTCCTAAAATAAGAGTCAAAATGCAAACTCATCCTTTTTGACAACAGCTTGCACATCTCACTGTAGTTATCCTTGCAGTATCACTTCAAATGTTACATTGCTACTTGTGCACACAGTTAAGTTTTTGGAAAAATGTACGGTCAGTGGATGGTCTCTGTTTTATCATACTACCTTCTTCTTCCCTTCCATTGTTTGCCACTCAAAGACTGTCAAAAGTCTAATTATAGAACATCTTTGCTATCCATTCTTGTGCTGCATCATGAACAATGTTGTTGCTTTTCAACAGTAGTAATGCACCAAGTATCATATATAGTACATTTATGGCATACTGTAAATAATAAATAACAGCACCGGTACTTGCTACTGTCGGAACAATTGTTGCTGGAATTGGATTGTACGAGATACACAGACAGCCTAAAATCTAGCTATGCAGCTTTCAGGATATGTTTTAACAACCCTTCACCTCTTTGTTTACTGCAACAGTTGTGTCACAGGTCACAATACAGGCAGAAAAGCATCTGCTGGGCAAGAGGTGAATGGAATTTTTGACTCTGCTTTCAATAGCCAGCATGCTTGAATAGGCAGTGCCAAGAAGAGGAGAACACAATGTACTTCATACACAAGATAGCAGCAGCTGGTAGACAGACCTTTAACTACTCAGAAGAAAGATCCAGTGAGGACTTCCATTTAAAAATAAATTTAAAAAAAAAAATAAAAAAAAGTAGCTCTGGTGGTCCTGTGTTCTAAAATAGCTTTCCAGCTAGGGAAAAATAAATATCATACTCTTAAAGTTTCTGTCTTAATATAAAGTGAAAATTCGTCACTGGAGAATTTTTGGATAATGGGGATGGGGGTGGTCTGTTAATGAAAACCTGAAGAAAGTGCATAGACAGAGCCATACAGTTCTTTGTATGCACATCTTAAATGTTAGGTGTATGGCTCAAGTATAAAAGATGGGGGTGGATTTAGCTGATTTTTGAGTTCTTTTGAAACAGTCTGGGTCTCCTAAACACATTTTTGAACTTGCAGATTATATATTTCATCAAGCATACCTGGACAGCTTTATATTTATCAGAACAATTTTAAGCAGCGTTTCTGTAAAATAGAACCAAAGACATCTGGCCTTTAATCTTTCTAAATCCAACTTTAACTTGGTGTTGAAACCAAGCAAGCGATTTTCTTGGACAGTTGCTACTGAGAAGGGATTTAAAATGAAATGATTGTCTTGATGGTAGATTTCCTGTCATGCTGCCGCTGTAAGGCTACATGACCTACCTTACTAAATTATGTTTTAATACCGCAGACCTCTGTGGTCTTTGGTATTTATGCTTCTGCTGTATATTATATCTGCCAAGTTGCAGGTACACCTCTAATATATGAGCACGCTTTTTCTACCAACAGCAATAATGGAATGTTGTCTCTTGCGTGTAAGCTATCACTAGAGAACAAGTGTTCATGCCTTTAAAATCTGAAAAATTGGGAAGTATTTCCAGGTCTGTCTTTGGGGTATGTAGCACCGTAATTGTCACAACTGCAAAACCAGTCCCCCCCCAGCCCCGCCCCCAGCCCCATGTTAAAGAACTTCTACACTGGTGAAAACACTCATTCACAACAGTTTAAAAAAATTATAATGACTCCGTTTTACTGAGTGTCTCTCTGTATTGCAGAGCAAAGGGCATTTTAAATTAAAGCTTTACAGCTTGGCCTGGAGGCAAAGATTCCTATGCGTTCTTCCCCCGTAGTTCTCCAAATAAGACTTTCAGTGGCTCCCAAGAGTTACAAATGCAATAATTATCCTCCCTATTCATGGTTTAGACTTTATCACAACATATTCTCTTTTTCCTCTAAGCTGTTTTAAACACCTTCAGATCATTTATCCAGCTGCATTCATGTCCTTACCATGTCCAATATAATGCATACCTTATCATCTTGTGGTTCACATTGAAAGCTAATTCTTTTATCTTTTCAACTAATCTCCTGGCATTACTGTGAAGATAAATCCCTAATCTCCCTCTCCCTGCTTTTCTGAAGTGACTTTTTCCTTGACATGTTGTTCACCGTTACTACAGGTACTTTACTTCTCTAGGTCTTGCTACAGAATTTTTGCATAGGTTTCTCAATTATTTTCTTGTTATAACTTGCAAGTTGAATTTTGTACTGTAAAGTTTTCATTGGCTCACTTCTGTTTACCAGTCAACATCCTGTAGGTAATTTATGGTCATATTCTGTAATGTAGGGCAGTGAACAAATTTCAGGAAGAAGGGAATAAGGAAACTGTTGTACATGTTTTTAGAAAGTCTACAAGAAAATCCATACACACCAGATAACCATGTGCATAGCTTATCCTCTCAGCAGTTTTTTTTGACCATTATTTTGCACTTCAGTCTGTGAAACATCTTCAGTCCTAATTACAGTATCGCAGTCTACTGAACAGAGTTATGGCAAAGTAACAAACAGATTGCAAATAGATTGTTAATAAAATAAAGGCTCACAAAGGAAAGAGTTTAAAACAGGTAGGAGATGGATGAGCAGAATTGTACCAAATAATATAGGGGAGTTGAGAGGAATGTAGGCAGAGACAAAACCATGTAGAAATGGTTGTGCAGGAGGGGGTTGTTCCCACTCAAAAAATCTTACAACCACCAGCATGAGATTTGAAAACATCTTGGGCATGCATTGCTCTGTATCTTTGCTTCTCTATGATGCAACCTTCTCAATTTGTTTTGTGCTTCTACCTCTGTTACAAACTCGTCTCCCTTTTTTGCCTGACTCCTCTAATTTTCATTGTGCTGTTTTCTTATGTATTTTTAATACTTTTAATAAATTATTCCAAACCTAGTCAGTTTTCCTGTAATTTTAAGTTCCTATAGACATAACTGACCTGTATGACAAATGCCTGCAGGGCCACTAGCAATTGAAATTAGAAGTGCAAATTCTCCACAACTTAGTAAAAAAAAAATTGCCTCTATTCATACATGACTGTGTTATGTGCTGTCAGTTGAATTGTTTTTTTGATTCCCATGCCCTTCTTGATGTTGCTCACATTCTCCATGTTTACAAACATGAATAGAATGTATGTTACATATATTCTCAAAAGCTTTAGAAGAAACATCCTAATTAAGCAGAGGGTCAGGAATTGATTTTAAAAGGCTTGCTATGATCTTTATAAAGTAGATTACCTTTAAAACTGTGCTAGTTCAAAAGGTTACCCTTGATTTTAAAAATCTTTCTGATAAACTATTCTCTCAAAATGACAGCACTTCTGAAGTGCAGCTTCTACACAGTTGATCTTGACCTTTATACACTTTTTAAGCAAATGGGAGATTTCTGTTGTCTCCTCCATTATAAGTAAGAGATTTCAGTGCATGAATGTATACCAAGTATGCAAATACATTTAGCTTATATCTATCATAGAATCACAGAATAGTTTGGGTTGGAAGGGACCACTAAAGGTCATCTAGTCCAACCCCACTGCCATGGGCAGGGACATCTTCAACTAGATCAGGTTGCTCAGAGCCCCGTCCAACCTGATGCTTGAATGTCTCCAGGGATGGGGCATCCACCACCTCTCTGGGCAACCTGTGCCAGTGTTTCACCACCCTCAGCGTAAAAAATGTCTTCCTTCTATCTAGTCTAAATCTACCCCCCTTTAGTTTAAAGCCATTCCCCCTTGTCCTGTCGCAAGAGGCCCTGCTAAAAAGTCTGCCACCATCTTTTTTGTAAGCCCCCTTTAAGTACTGATAGGCTGCAAGAAGGTCTCCCCAAAGCCTTCTCTTCT